GTTGTCGAGGGGAAGCAGTTCTGCTCTCGTAAAATGTTTTATGGATAATCGCCGGGAGGACGCCGCTTTAAAGGAGCAACGCGACGAGTGTCGGACGCCTCGATCGCCGAGCTACGGAACGGCCGCGCGGCGATAAAGCACATAATTGACATGTAAATATCCCGTGGAATCGTTTCGGCATTGTCCGGCCTGTCTATGCTCTATCTCGCTCGGCCACGTAATTCTCCGATGATTGGCAGCTTTCCCCTCGACTTTGGCGAATGAATCGTGCGCCGCGATGATCGCTCGAGGCGAATATTCCTGAGAATCTTCAATATCTAAGGAGTTTTTACACTCTACCGAGTATTTCGTATGATTGACGTGTAATTCTTGTTACATTGATAACGACAGTAAGAGGAAGATGAATGATTGAGAGAAATTCATTTGCAAGTGAAGAACTTTGAAAACCGAATCCAGCCGTTGCGATTGCCACAGGCCTGTGAAACGTCTCGAATTTTTCAGTTAGAATATTTAACGAATGTTTGAAGTAGAGTATCGATACTTGTCATTGTGAACTTCGATTTATATCTAAGAATATTTCAGATTAAAGTTCTGGTCGTTTGAAACAGGATCAAAGGCAACGTCCAGAATGAACGAAAACGAAATTCAAATGTTTATTTCCTATGAATGTGAGGATATTATTGAAATATTCAGTACTTATTGGAAGCAAATCGGATTGATTTCTAGTCTGTCGTTAGGTACAAGGTCAAGCCTTTGAGAACGCGGCTTCAGGTTCGCGACTCGTCGAAGCAGCTCGCCGGAGTCGGTGGGGGATCGATCGCGTTTCTATGTGCACGCTCCTTTAAACACATAACCAGGAGATACAAGATCGATCGGGGGCCGAGGTCGACGTACTCGCATTAACTCGAACTTTCGTGGAATTTATTGTTGTCCTGCTCATAGAGGGAACGATCCGCCGGATCAAACGCGCCGAGTATCGGGCCCGCGTTTCCGTTTCGTTGATTGAGCAGCCGGGTAGGTCAATTAGCGGTAAAATTCATTATGAAACAGCATAATGAGAGGTTGCCGCCGCGCCGGGACCGATAATCCCAGTCCAGTGATCTCCATCCGTGAACGAACGATTATTCGCGTTCCTCGAACGGTGATGTGGCTTGTGTTCCGCGGTTGCAAAGGAGGTTCGAAGAACTCGAACGTTTGAGCAGTTCGGACTGGTTTATATACGAGATTATAATTTGGGGAGCTTGAACGTTTGGGAACGTTGAGCCATTTGATGTCTGAGCAGTCGAAACTTTTTTAATTATGAGAATATTAGAAAAGTTTGAGAACGTTGGATTATTCGATGTTTGAACAGTGTGAACTCATTCGAATACGAGAATGTGTTTTGGAAAGTTTGAGAAGTTTGAAAATGTCGAATCTTTCGACGTTTGAGCAGTGACACTCATTTAAATATGAGAATATTCTTAGAAAAGTTTGAAAACGTCTAATCATTCGAAATTTGACTGTCCGAGAAGCTGAAACTATCAAATATTCCAAAAGGCCGATACATGTTTACTACCAAAACGAGTCAAACGATCGTATTTGATAATTAATTCGAATTATTCAATCATTCCGATCCCTCCGAGCGTCGAAAGTTTGAATAATTCAGACCTTCGGTATCATCCAAGCGTCCCGAGTTCGCGTAGTTTAAATAATCCAACCGTCGAATCGTCCGATCTGTCCAGACGGCGGCGGCTTCGTATTCAAACGGTTCGACCGTTTGAATTTTTACAGCGTTAACCGTGCACCGTTTTCCGTGGAATTAGACGCGCTCGGCAGATTACGTTACGCACGGAATTCCACGTATCTCGAGGCCTAGAGCATGCTATTTTCGTCGGGAATCGCTCGCGTTCCGATCGCACGCTTTATCTGTCGACTGATACGGGCCGACTTCCTGATAAGATCAAGGCTCTCGTCGTCCGTTACGAATTCTTTTCACAATTCGAACGAAAACCTGCGCCGTGATTCCATTCCCGCGATTCTAACGAGAAAATCTGTTAGAACTGTTCATTACTTGCAACGCAAACATTCCAGCGTCTCCTCGAGTGACACGCGCGATTATAATCGTCGACGCTTCGAGTGCAGCGAATTCACACGATTTCCCATTCGCCGCGCTTCGATCTTTCCTCGCAACTTCGCTTATTCCCAACCGACGACAGTTTCTGGGAAATAACGAAACGGTAGAACCGCATTCTTCTACCGAGAAATAATTATTTCCTCTCGCAGCTAATGCGCCGGTAAAAAGTGTTCGACGCCAGTTTCTAATCTCACGGGTTCGGTTCCATTAACTGCAATCGCGGACTTCGATTCGGAACTCTCGACCGCCGTTTCTCGCGTAAAAGAGAATCGCGAGCGAGGAATTATACGATCCGACGATCTGTCCGAGAGAAACCGAGCTGCGGGCGCAACGCGTAATTCAATCGCCGGCATTCGAAGTAGGAAATCGCGAGTGGAGAGTTCCTCCTCTTTTTATTCACGGCGTCTGGCCGCTGTCAGGAAAGCCACTTTCTCCCGGAGCAACTTTGTAGCCTCGCGATTATCGAATCGCGATAAATCTCGCGGTTAACGCGCCGACTGCGAAACCGATTCCCCGCGGAAACCTGTGAAATCGGAGGTACATATTTCACGGGGCGGACATTGAAAACGTAAGGTTCCCAACGGCGATTAATACGTCAGCTTTCTCGCACCTCATAAATCCCGATGGAAACTGGTTCCCTCGATCCACGGCGATGCTAATTAACAGTAACCATTCATACTGACGATGAGCCGACACTTTAGCCAGCCGAAACGATGACATAACTGTTTGTATAGTCCCGCTAATGAATTTTCTCAATGATGTACCGCACAAACCGAGTTTCGATAGATTTATATGCTTCAAGGTTCAAGGACCAATCGTTGCTGATCTTAACACTAGATTTTAACAGATTTAACTGGATTTTATAAACATTGCTAAATGTTTTCTACTGTGACTAATGCAGATATACAAATATAGCAGTCGAAGCGTTAATGAGAAATATCTTCGCGAGAAGATTAATTACCAATTCGCGACCATGCATCCAACTCAATCAAAAGATCCCCAAATTTGGCTGACCCGGCAGTTAACTTGAACTCGCCGCTCGCAGTGTGCTAGTAACCCACAAGAACATCGCGACGGCTCCACGTTCGAACGGATAGTACAAGCCGACCTCGAATCGCGGCGCACGTTCATCCTCGGGATAGTCGCGAGTGTTTCCGGGGAAATGCAGTCTGGATGGCTCGAAATCAGCGAAAAGAGGAACTACGAGTCTGGCGTTCTTTGAAAGATTCTCGATGTCTAGACAACGCCGGTGTCTCGCGTACTCCGGCGGCCCGAGGCGCCGTTGGAATTCCTCGCTCGAAGGGAAAACTGAAATTCGCCGGGAGACGGTGCACCGAAACTCCATTCCCTTTTTTCCTGTAGTTGTCGTCACCGTTGTCGTCGTCGTCGTCGGCGGCGGCGGCGGCGTTGTCGTTGTCGCGGAAGGGAAAGTTTCTGAAACGCCGCGCCGCCTCGAGGCGGCAGGCAACGGGATTCGAGTGATTGATAACGACGATCCTCCTCGTATCGCGATGCCAGACGTGAAATATGAGCTGGCTCGAATAAAATTCCACGGCTGTTACCATGGGAAGACTTTGGCTCGGCCGCGATTCACGCGCGAACGAAAGTAACTGACGAACTTTAAAGGTCTTCGTCGCCGGCCGGGTACCAATATGGCGGCCGCCGGAGGAAACCCGACGTCGAAGACCCGTAGAGACTTTCGGAGAATCGAGTTGATTGGGCGTAGGCATGGTTTCGGCATGGAATTTTTTTACTGGGACACGGCGCATCGGAGGGTTTCGATTGGATCGAATTCGTTTGATGGTTTCTTGGATGTGTGATTCGTGGATGATTTTTCTGGAGACGGGCTCCGGTGCTTCATTTATATTGTAATCGCTTATTTAATATTATAATGTTGAAGGTATCGATATTTATTTAATATTGCACCGCTTAAAATTGCAACAATATATATTGCAACGTTGAAAACGTCAATGTTTCGTTACAACATGAATATTAATATTAATCTCATCCCATTTTCGATTTCACTAATCCTCCAATTGTCCAATTTCGTTTCATCGTACGCGATAATACGGTTACGAACACGAATAATTTACAATTCAGAAGTAACGTGAATATTTTAATACCGAAATGACGATTATCAAGCCGCTTTCGCGCCTACTAAACGCCTTCAAATGTTTGGAGAGGCTTACCGGCTGAGCGCGCGAGATTCCCCGACAATATGGCGGCCACGATAACAAACCGGGCCCTACCGAAGGTCTCCGAGGGTTCTCAACGCGTTTCGGTGAAACGATGGAGCTTAATCCTCTATGGACCGAAGTTTTGTTCATTATTATAACAAAATCTGCAGTACAAAATTAATAGATATCCACATACGAATACGAATTAACAATGTATTCAATAGTTTCAATAATTTCATCAAACGAATATATTTCGTAACTTTCAAGTTACAATGACGTTAAACTTTCATGTCTGAGCGTGTAAAAGTTGAAGTAAACTGATTATTTAATGTTATTCAACACTTCGAGTGCAAAATGAAGTAAATCAACAAGATGCCAATATACTGATATACGACTTTAAAGTTACATGGGCCTACAGAGGGTTAATTGCTCGCGATGGAATTCCCCGGACGAGGAACGCAGCGGATAAAAAAGAGTTAATTAGACGGTGATCTCGGAATTGAGTATAAAGCCGCGTCCACCGATCCGCGGGATAGCCTCAGCGGCAACGTCGCGCGCCGCGCACGTGGGGACGCGGCTTAACAATCGAGAAGAAGTATTCGTGGTCCGTGGTTTGTTTGCGAATAGGATTGGGTGTCCTGTTTCGTAAACCTGCGCGTCCATCCTCGGGAAATGGATTATTGACATTGGCATTTTTTCTGTTTACACAGGCCGTCGTGTCCGTTAATGGCCGCCAGGGTCATCAGCTAGAGGCCGTTTAGCGAAGTTTCGAGCTGCCAGCGCGATAACGCACAGCCCGTACCCGATGAGTGTAAGTACGAGTTGTTCCCATTATTTTTTCGCCTTCACTTTTTCCACGGCGTCTCAAAGTCTGTTCTTCTTTTTCTTCTCCGTTCCCGTTGCTCGAAAGTCTTCGACCGCGTGCGTTGCTTTATCGCGGTGCCTTCTAGTCTACGGATTCCATGCTTCTAACCCATTTTCTCTTGTTTTATTGGAGCTTTCTTAACACGTTGGATATTGTCACCGGTGACAAGCAAATCGAATTACTATAATTCACTCAATGAAATGATTATTCGCAAACATTTCTATATTGTAAATAATGGTGTCCATTGTGGTGACATTCAGTTTGATGAACGTGCAATCATAATAATCTTTTAACCCATTTTCTCTTGTTTTATTAGAGTTTTTTTAACTCGTTGAATATTGTCACCGGTGACAAGCAAATCGAATTACTATAATTCACTCGATGAAACGATGATTATTCGCAAACGTTTCTATATTGTAGAAATTTGTATGGATTTCCATGAATTCGATCGTAAAAATGTGTATTTGGACAATTCGAGTAATCAGAGAGGTATAATATTTATCGAGTTATTGATGAGATGCGTCGTTTATTTGGGTCGGGGGAGCAAGCAAATGGATTTAATGTCTCCGGCGTAGTAATTAACAGTAATAGCTATGCGATTTGTGATATGATATTTGTCCGCTAAAGTATGATAGCTTCCAATACAAATATTCAATGTCCACGTATATGTGTACCTGCGCATATTGCACAAAATACACAGAGGATGGATGGCATAGATTGGATCACGTCAATATCGTATACACGGATGCGTCAACAAACTATTCCGAACATACAAAATTCATGAAATGACCAACTTATGGGCCTAAGCTAGATTATAAAATTAACAAATGACATCGCAAATATATCGAAGACTTTCGAGTTGAAATTCAAAAAAATTCAGTATCACTTTCATCGTCACCGATCTTATTCTCTCTAACATTTCGCATAACAAAAAGAAAATACTAAGATCACTGCATATGCACAAGTATTTTACCCTAAAAATGAAAATAAACCATCTAAGAAACCTTACAATACATTTTCCACTGTCGACGTTAGACTAGAGTGTCGTAGACTGCAAAATTGGTTCGATCGCTAAGGGTTAAACGTCTTTTCCCTGAAATTCATTCGCAGAATATCGATTACGTGCCGGTAACCGGTTCAACGTTCCTACGAATCGACAGTATAATATCGGCGGTATCGTATGAAACCGCAGGAATAAAGTTGTTCACGTGCGTGCCGCGAAAGCGAGGAATAATCGGCCGGCCGATAAGACTCCGGCGAGTCGTTCGCAGCCTCGAGACCGATCGGTCGCGTGTTCCGCGTCATCGACGGAGAAACGCGTGGAAAACTCGGAACGGTAACGCGTCGCGCGTGTCTTCGCGCGAGTAGAGTCCCCGGATCGAATTAAACCGAGCCGTCGAATTAAGTCCAATAAAACTGGCCGCCGGTTCTTGCGTGCGCTCGAGGCACGCTCATTTGGCTGTGTTTAAACGATCGGATTCAGGGGCGGCAGGGAAATTAATTAAAACGGGCCGGGGAAGGATCCGCCAGTGTGTCACATCGGACAACGCGATGTACAGGGTGTCTCGACGTGAATCGTTACTCCGAGAGCAAGTGATTATATCAGGTTATTCGAAATATTTTATTTACTCTATATAAATGCGTGTTGGTGAATGACTTATTCATAAGTGTAGTTTGGAAAATGTTGAGGGAACAACTATTGAAGTTGGCTGCTTTTCAGAGTTCTATGGGAATTACGAAAATGAGAAAGGAGATTTTGATAGACTTAGGAATAAAAAAAGGGTCGCTTTATTTTTACAATTCTATAGGAATTTTGAAAGTGAGAAAGGAGATTTTGATAGACTGTTGAAAAAAAGGGTCACCCGGTTTATTTTTAGAATTCTATAGGAATTATAAGAGTGCGTTGAGATTCCGATAGACTATTTTAATTTCCGTATCGACTCAAGTTATACAGTAATCATTCCCATAATCATTTTCCAATAATTAAAAAACTCTAGATGAAAAACAAGTCTATCCGACTCACTCGGAAGTCCTAGTATCAACAAACTCCAACAACAAACTATCAACATTGCAATTATTTCCGAATACTACAAGACTTCAAACGCACAGTAGAAAAAGATCGCCATGACCAGACGCATCACCCAAAATCATACTCCACTTTTCTTTTACGCAACATCAATACAATCCTTATCCACGAAATTGCCTGGAAATGATTCACTCATTATTCAACGAAAATATCCGAGTTAGCGGAAATCTTATTACAAATTAATCCCGCATACGTTGACAAATCGTTTCCACCGCTCTCTCTCTCTCTTTCTCGGAGCACCCTGTATATAGTTCGCGGCGCGCCAGCAGAAAAGAGAAAGAGAAAGAGAATAAAGCGGCGAGGAAAGCCGGCGGACGGATAACGGCGGCCGTGCGCTGTGCAGTTATCACTTTTATTTACGATGATCGCGGTCGATAATCGGCCAGTCTTAACCGGACGCTTATCTTCGGACAGGTTAGATCGGCGGCCGGCCACATGGTGAAGCAGAGGAGGTTCATCGGGAACACCAACAACAAGATGATCAACATACGAGAATATTTATAGACGGTTTTTAGGCGCGAACAGCACAATAGGCCTGAACAGGATCAAACAGTGAACTCGGTTTTATCTGCATGTCGGTGGACGACGGAGGCAGCAGCCAGTATTGCTCACAGACGAACGAACGATCGGCAAAGGGAAACGATCGACGGTGTCCACGTTTCGTCGCCAGCCACTGATCTCTCACGCCGACCGGAAGAAGTTCTCGACGATCCTCGCGGATAGATCGGCGCGTCGCTACACGCGGCCGCCCGATATGCTCGGACTGCCACCTGGCTTCCTGTTTTACGTAACACGCCAGGGATGCTTCATTCTCGCGGACAGGTAAGTGGTGCACCGATAATTGCTCGATCACCTCGAAAATCACTCGATCGGCTGTCCCTCGGTTTTTAACCCTTACCACTCCACATAGTTTCGTGATGTGTCAGCGAGTCCTACTGAAAATTAACGATGTTGTAACATTTCTTAGAATTAATTCCCTTCTCAGTACAAACTTTCTATATTTCGAAGATCTAAGAATCTTAAGTGCAATATCGGAGCCTACAGAGTTCAAAGGGTTCACTTTCCTCGATTTTTCGACCCTCCCACTGATACGTGGATCTTAATTCCCTTCTCAGTACAAACTTCCTATATTTCGAAGATCTAAGAATCTTAAGGTGGTTTCCTTCAAATTCATTGAAATATTTAATATTAGAACTGGTGCAATATCGGAGCCTAGAGTTCAAAGGGTTAACTTTCCTCGATTTTCCGAAATCCACTGATACGTGGATCCGCGTGACGTATTCGTCAGGTGTTCATTGATTTTTCGACGTGTTCGGCGAGGAAAGTTTCCGGCAGTGCTCAGTTTTGGATTTTGAGGGTTTTTAATGGTTCCGGTTGGATTTTCGAAGCGATGAAGTCATCGAGATTCTCTGGGACGAGGTTTCGAGGTTCGTTCTTGACAAAGAAATGAAATGGGAATATTGGACTTTTAGCCTGTATAGCGAGTGACTCTTTTCCTTGTCAAATTTAACGTGTTTTCTCTGCACCGTAACGTCCCACGTTGGCTTTGTATTGCGGAGGGGAATGCCGGGTCGTCGCATATATCGCGGAGTTCTCGAAGAGACGGGTATAAAGGAAATTGACGTTATTGGTGGAGCTGCTCCGTTTTATATCGCGAGAGATAAACGTTCTGTGATTGTGCAATAACTATCTGTAATTATGATAACGGGTACGAGTAATAGCATAACGAAATTAGCACGTTCCCGAGTGCATCGCGGTACATTTCACACAACGAACTTCAAAACTATACTACAAGCATTATAATTAATTAATCAAAGCTTCACATTCTCCTCAGTTCTACAATAAACGAACTTGATACGAAACAAAATGATCAAGTTTCATTGTTCAACTCCAAAAAATGAAATTTATCGTGAAACTGTATTCTATCCTATTGTTTAAACTTTTGTTTCACAGTGAAAGGCTCAACGTCCTTTTATTCCCAAACAGAATGAAAAATACCCACTGTCCATATTCCCAGCCCATCGAGTGATTTTCGATCGTCGAGTCGATCGGTTTTATTCGCCCACGGTAGCGTACCGGTTCTAACGATCGTTTCTTTCAGATCCAATATAACGAGAGTTCTCACGACGACAGGGTTTAGACAGCCATTAGCGGAAGTGTGTTGTTACGCCGGCAGGCGAGAAAGACAAGGCCGCCCCGCGCGGGAGATATGAATTGCAACGGGCCGCGCATCGGTTAATCGGAATCGGTGCACCGCGATCGTTCGCGTATCGGCCGTCAACGAGAGACCGTATTCCGTTGAACAGGTAGCTACAACCATCCAGTCGAAGATACTTTCTAAACGAGCGACTCCAAACGCTTAGGAGACGAGGATTCAGATTTTTCGCGGCGATCGATCACCTGCGGACACTGCGTTCGTCACGCGGATTCTAGTGAAAGTGGTCGTGCGCTGGTAACAATCGATCCCGTGAGATCGGAATCGGCGTGGATCAGTTCTCTGAAGTTAATACTCGAGGAATCTATAACGAAAATTGATATTCGAATCTTAATAAACGCATGGTTCTTGATTTTTCTGTTGCAACGATGTTAGCGCAGTTAACAGGAACTCGATTGAAGCAGACTTACTTGAAGTTTATGAATTCTATTCGAATTTCTGCAATTAAAGTTATTAATGAGAAGTTTCAATTTGTTATTGAATATATTGCATTTATCGTGACAGAGGAATTGTAATTGATACTTGTAGTTAATACAGAATTGATCGCTGGTTATCGTGGTTACCACAGAACTCATTATTATTATAGTTACTGTAAATAATGCAATTACAAAAGAATTCGTTATTATTATAGTTACTGTAAATAATACAATTACAAAAGAATTCATTATTGAAACATATAAATATCAGCTCGAATCACTCGGCATCTAGAGCCCAAGTTGGTTAACCGGATGTTCCGATTTTATCGTCTCAATCTCGAAAAGAGAAACTGATTTATGCTGTTCCTGATTCCATCGATTCAATTGTTCTCAATTTTCATTCATTGATTTATAGACGAAAAATCGAAAGATCTTTGCACGAGTTCTTGTTTCGTGAACTTCCGAGGACCAGAATTCGGGTGCCGGTTTTTAAGAAGCACCGAGTAGTTTCTCCTCGTGTAACGGGTAATTTATAACACGCGGCTGGAACTTCGGGGATGAATATATATTTATGTAAATACGCGGCGCCGTTGAAGCGCCCCCGCGCACGCTCGAGCCCTTAAGGAACTTTCTTTTTGAAGAGTATTTACGACGCGATTTCAATTCTCTTGTTAAGTCGTGACGTGAGTTACGCTCTGTCTTCGCGAAATGGTACAGGGCGCGCGCTGGTCTATCGAAACGTTCGACGACTTTTTTCGGGGATGTTTCACTTGGATTTCTTAATGAAGCAGTTGAGATGGATACTCGAACTTTTGTAGTTTTAAAAGTTTAACTGCTGTATAGCCTGATGGTGCTTCGAAGGTACCATTTTTGTTAACTCTTTAGACGAAGATTCTTTGAAATATACAGAGCAGATGCTATTTTATTTGCTAATTTAGCAGCTATTATAGATCGATTGCTTAAATAATGGAAAGGAGGAAACTACAAACCTCTTGCTGTTTGAGTAATTAATTCACTTGTTGCTTATTGTTCTAAATATGAAGCTCTGATCTCTCGAAGTGTCGATATTCCTCTGTAGAGTTAAAATACTGGTACCGAGTATTTTTCAGTCTTTAATTCCAGTTTCATTAAAGTTTCCGCCATTAAATAGTCTCGAAATTTCCAATAGAACCTCGAATCAAAGTTTCAAGATAACAAAATTCAGCGCTGAAACCAAGGGAAGCCTAATACTAACGAAAAATCAGTTTCAAATCAGAAGTTAATTATCTATCAAAAAATTATTGAAACGCAACAGCGTGTGAACATAAAGGACACGCCTGAGTTTTCCGTTTCTCGTGTTCCATTCATCCGAGAAGTTACCAACGCGTGTTACGAGATAGCCCGTATTTCGAGAAACCGGGAACGATTGTCGTCGTTCGCTTCGAATTCAAATTGTAACAAGATAAAGGTTCCCACCGGTGGGATACAGATCGTCCGGATGGGTCCGCGGGAAGAAATATTCGTAAGGAATGCGCTCGCGTTCGTATTTCACGTCCGCGTTTCTCCGTTGGTAATACGCGCCCGCGGCAAATGGCGGCAGACCTTCCTCTAAATATTGGTTAACGTCGAGTGTATTCAAGAGCGCTTTGTCATCATTTAGCGACAAGTATATTTCAACAGGCGAGCGTCATTCCGGGCTGTCGTCGTTCGGCTCGCGGTTATTCCGCGCGAATAAATCGATAAACAGCTTTGAAAGAAGCTTTCCGCTTCCTTTGCGAGCTCCTTCGAGATTTTTACTTGTCAGCCGATCGCGAAGTTACGTTTTGTATTGATATTAACTTTTATGGTCTCACGGAGAAACGTTGGGAATGGAGAAATGAGAATTGAGAGCTGAACGTAGAGGATTAAATGATAGTTGCAAAAGAATTGAAAAATTGGTAAATAATCAGTTGATTCGATCAATGAATGAGAATTGAGAGTTGAATGTAGAGGATTAAATGACAGTTGCAAAATTGGGAAATTGGTAAATAATCGAAGTAGGACGAAGTATTTGTTGTAATAATAATATAATCTATTAGTGATAGATGTAACCGAATATATAAAGCAATTCATTTGATTCGATCGACTTTTGTGTATTACGATTGTAAAATATGTGGAAAGATCATTCTTATTAATCAGTGTAATATAATTTGATTAACCGAAGCTTCCTCTTTGCAGGTTCTTTCTTTTCTAGGTTTTCAGCGTTCGCAGTAATCGCGAAAGAGATGTGGGATAAGCCAAAGTAAACCAGTGATATTTTTTACACAGTATTTTGCTTGAATAATCGAGGAGATTAAACGAGAAGCGAGATAGAGGGAAGCGAGTTTCGATGAGTTGTAGTGAGATCAGTTTATAAAACGAGGAAATAAACGGAT